AATATCGTTGTCCACTGCTCCTCATTTTCGCTCATAAGTGTAGCTCGCAGTAAATTGAAGCATGTGCGGATAACACGCTCCATTTCCTCGAGGCATTCCAGTCGCTATATGATGTAACTGAACTCCTTGCTCACTAAGGAAATTCTGGAATGTCACCGATGTGAATGCAGCTGCTCTGTCAGCTATTATGCGTTTCGGGGTCCCCAGCTCTTGAAAAACTGGTAACAAAGCACGGATGCTATCTTCAGAGGTTTTCTTTGGGATTGGTTGGAGATGGCAATATTTCGAGAAGGCATCAATTATTACCAAGATATGGGTGCATCCATTTGGTTTTATCAAAGGTCCTGCATGATCAATGTGCCTAGTGTGGAGGATATCATCAGGTTTTTCGCCCTGCTGCCACCATCCTGCTCTGCGACCGGTATGTGATTTTCCTAGTACACATGCTCGACAGTTTCTGATGTACTTTTTCAAACATTTGCCCATTTTTGGCCAAAATAAATCCTCGCATAATTTGGCTATACATTTGTCGAAACCAATGTGTGATGATTCATCATGATATAGTTTCATTGTCAAAAGGCGTGCTTCATTGGGAGCAAAACACTTATGACTTGGTCACAACGACATTATTTTTTACAATAAAGTTGGGATTTATTTGTGGATTATTCAGGATTTCAAAACCAAATGTGTCTTGCTCCTGAAAACTTCGCAATGTTTTGACATCTGATAGTCTACTAACGTTTATAGTTTTCAAAGCAGATTCTTCCTCTGGTGGGTTTCGACTCAGAAAGTCCACGTGAGCCATTTTACTTCCGGGACGATGCTCGATGCTAAAGTCGTAGTCCTGTAACTTAATCCACCAACGTGCTACGGGGGTGTAAGTCTTTCTTCAAAGCAGTTGCTCTCACTGAATTACAGTCAGTGTATACCACAAAGTGCACTCCGTACAAATAAACTCGAAATCGCTCAACAGCTTCCACTAGAGCAAGTGTCTCTAAATCATACGAGTGATACCTTGATTCGTAATCAGTCGTCCCACGGCTATAATAGGCGACATGTCGCGAAACACCGTCTTCTTTTTGGAGCAGCACAGCGCCAAGTCCCACTAAACTCGCGTCAGTGTGAAGTTCACAACTCAGGGCGGGATTGAACATTCGCAATACAGGAGAACTGGTCAGTTTGTCCATAATAAATTGCCTTGGCCGCTCACATTCGGGAGTCCACTCGAAAACACGGTTTTTTCGTAACAAAGCAGTAATTGGAGCCGTAATGATGGACAAGTCTTCAATGAACTTGCGAAAGTAACCCGCGAGTCCCATAAACTGGCGAATACCTTTAACACTTGTCGGAGAAGGTGGTTGGGTTAGCGCATTCACTTTTCTCGGACTAGGGCGAATTGTTCCTTCACTCAATAGGACACCAAGATACTCTATCTGTTTCTCAAAAAATTTACACTTTTCATAGTTCAAGGAAAATCCATGAATAGCCAAATCACTCAACACTTCCTCCAGATATTGCAAGCCGTCTTCTATTGTCACCGACGGCACGAGTACATCATCAAGATAAACAAAAGCTTTATTACCTTTCAGGTCTCCCAAAGCTTCGTCAATTGCTCGCTGATATATTGCCGGGGCATTGACATATCCAAAAGGCATACGGTTAAATTCATATAGCCCATTTGGTGTGATAAACGCCGTAATGTATCTGAAACTTTCCTCAATTTCCATTTGATAAAAACCAGACTTTATATCTAGTGTAGTGAAGTATTTGGCGTGAGACAATGAGTTCACCTGTTTTTCGATAACGGGTAGGGGGTACATTTCTTTATAAACACGTTTGTTTATATCTCGGTAATCAACACACATCCTTGTCTCATTGTTCTTCTTTTTAACTAGAACAGTAGGACTGGCATATTCTGAACGACTCTTTCGGATGATTCCTTTAGACAAAAGATCGTCAATTATTTTATTAACTTATATTCGTTCTTGAAGTGCTAAACGACGTGCACGGTATGAAACCGGAGTACTGTATTTTAATCGAATGGTCATTTTACCTGTTGTAATCGTATCAGGCGTTTTGCTTTTATAGTGTTAGTAATTTCTCCACTAAGTCTTGTGGCTTTAAGCTGTCATCTAGACCTTGCTGATTTATCTTAACATCCACAGAAGTCTTTAGGGTGAATACTTTCATCGCATTAACTGGTTCACAATTCAAATCCAGGCCATCGGCATTCTTTTCAACTCGCACAGATGGTCGACCGATAACATCCCATCCAATAACAACGTCAACATCCCCCGGAATAGCACTGTCGCACACCACGGTGAAAGTTATCTCTAAAGTCACATTTGGCAGAACGACTACACACCCTCGGCCTAAACAGATTTGTTCCCGAGTCCCGAAAAGGCACGCACTTGTTCGGATGACCGGACAATGCCATTAATTGTTCTTATGACAGAGTGTTTCACTATGGATACATCGGCACCACTGTCAATGATGTAGGTAAATGATGATGCTTGGTTATTACATAATAATGTTGCTATCGGAGTAACTTGTAGCTGGCGCCAGTTCTTCAATGCAAATGCTTTCTTGGGCCTCCCATGTTTTGACCAGCAATTTGATTCACTGTGCCCCATCCTTTTGCAATAAGTGCAAGATGGCACGGCAGTAGTTTCGGCTTTTTCATCAACTTTCACTGTTTTGTCCATTTGCACGACACGACATGAATTCTGGTGATGTCCTCTGCGACCACAGTTGAAACAAGCACATTTAATTATTTTAGCTGGTTTCTGGTTGTAGTGGTTCTTAGGATGATGTTCCTGTGAGTGCGCTAGCTCTCCTGAATTTGCTTGACCGGCCAACTTGGCGCGCATCGATTTCGCAAAACAGCTTCATTAACTCTCGCTCTGAGTCCGGAATTTGAATATGCAAAGTAGAACGGGCTTCTGTATTATCTAGTCCATATTCCATCATGCTAAGTACCTTGTTCCATGGCAAGTTGTCTTGGAATCTGCGAATATAACGTAGCTTTTGGTTGCCATATTCGCATAAAGCTTAACAATCGTTACTCCGGAGTGTAGCTGCCTTAAAAGCACGGGCACCTGGAGTCTCCTGGTCTGGAAAGGCTACCACTAGGTCGTCACAGAATATTTTCCAGGTTCGGCATCTCGGTCTGAAATCGCAACAGTATTGATACGCACGATTTTTGAGAGCTTCGCTAGCCTTAGCAATCATTAAATTATCACTGATACCTAGTTCATCTTTAAGCTTCGTAGCATCATCCAGCCATTCCCGGATGGAGTATGCAGTTTTGTCGGGATCGAACGTAGTGAGCTTAAACGACGTATGCCCAGACATCGTAGCCTGTATGCCATCTACTTTGGTATCCCTGTGTGTTGGCGGGGCGGACGATGTCATTCTGAGCTGCCGAGTTAACTCGGCTAACTGTTGCTGTTGTGCAGCCACTAAGTTCATCAATGTCTCCTGCCACTCAACTTTCCGCCATTTAGGAGGTGGCGGAGACATAGCCACTTCCTCGCTATCCACTTCGGCACTACACGCGACTTCGACACTTTCGCGACGAGGACTTTTTTCTTCCGACATTGTTCCTTTTTTTATCCAATATAAAGTAGAAAATGCGGCACGGATGTTATCCCACTTCTGATGTAAGAAAAGGTGTAGATTTGATTTGGCTTTTACCCCAAAAAAATACACTTCTATCCCCAATCAATACGTTATTCTGCGTACTACCATTTACTACGTATTTAGGCACAATTTGTATGGCTGTCGGTACGTGACTGTCTTCGCTACTACCTGCGAGGGATCGAGTCATCCCCGGACGATATCATTTCACCCTCTTGAGAGGGAATTATGGGTAGTTACAGCGGCGCCGCTAACATACAGGGTGTTCCATAATTATTGCGACAAAATGATAGGGGTTGTAGAGGGCATAAAAATATGCAATTTTGCCTTATAAACCCCTGTTCGTAAATATGCCGTTTGAGCACTACAGTTAATTTTACCTTAAGAGCTCATAGGAGAAACAAAAAATTCACCAGCTGCAAAATGTTCGTCTAGCACATTTCATGGTCTCACCGGTTTGTAAAAAAAGCCTGCTGTGTTTACATTTTTGTTATCGTACACCCGTACCACCTTTTAAAAGTCCAAGCCATGGGTCCAGCAGACTATCTGCCGCGTCGACGTTTTTGTCGTTGGTGGCTGCAGCAGGAGTTGAGGCAACCAAACTTTGGTCGCTACGTTTTGTTCACTGACGAGTCCTGTTTTACAAAGGACGGTTATTTTAATAGCCATAACAGTCACATTTGGGATGAAGAAAACCCTCATGTCATAGCCATCCATAGAGACCAACATCAGTTTTCAATTAACATCTGGTGCGGCATTGTGGACGAGCATATCATCGGGCCATATCTGCTTCCACCACGTTTGGATGGGCATGCTTATGGTCGATCCTTACAGCATGTGCTACCGGAACTATTACAAAATGTGCCACTGAATATAAGAGCCAACATGTGGTTTCAACACTATGGCGGTCCAGCCCACTTTTCTTTACAAGTGCGGCAGTATTTGGACGACAAATTTCCAAATAGGTGGATAGGCCGAGGTGGCCCTGTGCCTTGGCCTGCGCGGTAACTTGACCTGACCCCACTGGATTATTTTATCTGGAGCTATCTGAAAGCTTTAGTGTACGAAACTCCTGTTCCCAACCAACAAGAGCTACTGGGAAGAGTGATGGCCGCGTCCGCACATGTTCAGGACATACCGGGGGTATGCCACAGAGTTCGCCGATCATTGAACAATCGTGCACAGCTGTGTATTGAGCAAGGTGGAGGACACTTTGAGCAATTACTGTAGGTAAGCTGTTTCAAGAAACTGATCTTTTTTTTTGCTGCAGCCCAAACGGCATATTTCCGAACAGGGGTTTATAAGGAAAAATTGTTCATTTTGATGCCCTCTACAATCCCTATCATTTTGTCGCAATAATTATGGAACACCCTGTATATACCAAGACATTTAAATGACTCGACTATTTCATTTTTTTTCATCATTAATCATGAGACTAATTGTATTGTCACCTAAATGTTTCCCTATTGACAAAGATTTTGTTTTATTAGTGTTTAATTTAAGTTTATTGACATTTAACCAATTCATAATTTTTTCAATATCACTATTTAACAGTTCTAAAGCAGTGTCCAAATGTTTATGTGATATACAAGTTGAGTCATTTATTTTAACAGTAAATAGATCTGATCAAAAGAAATGTTTTTTCCTTTAGCATTTTTCTGGTAAAATTAAAGTAACAAATATATAAGATAAAGAATGCACACGTCGTATGGTAAAAAAATAACAGACTTTATTGCAGGAACGAAGAGTGGTTACAAGTATTGAACAAAATCTGTCTGTGCCTCGATATAATTCTAGTATTTATAGGAAAAATAACAGAGCTGTATCGAAAAAAAAGAAGTAAAAAGCAAATATTTCTTAATGGGCTTGCTTGCCATACAATTCAATTTGTTGGAATAATGGGCTTGTACCACATAGTTATGTTACCAACAGGATTCCATAACTCCTCCCTCCTACGAAAAGTTGGTCTCCAACTTAGAGAAAATTTAATTTACAGTTACAATATGGTTCCAAAGCTGTAAGAGTCGTAAGAAAGGTTTTGCAACTTAGTATGAACTATTATTTCCAAATGATTTTGGTAATAAGAAGGATTTAAAAAGCTAAAATTACTTTCAAGTAAAGGCAATGATAATTCAATCTGCTTGCAGTCTTTAATATCAATTGAAATATTAGTATTAATAGTATTTTAAGTGAATATGAGGACAATTTTCCAACATAGATGGCTTACGTGTGCCTGTTTAGTAATTAAAAACATAAATGCGGATTGTTACTTAGTTTGATTAAATTGGAGCAAAATCTTTCTTCTTCAAATTACAAAGTAAAATTGCTTGGGATGGTGGTGGTGGATGCGGATACTTTTACAAATATCGATGTTTTAGGACCCATTTGGTGTAGATTTCTAGATCATAAACTGGCAAAAATTGTTTTTGATGTGACAAAAGATGATGAACTAGTTGGAATACGTTTTATATCCCTTTTTTGCAAAATAACAAAAATCTGTACATTTCTACAGGTATGTATTTTGTACAATACCCTGTACGTGATATACAGACAAAACTAGATGGCCATCCATGAACAGTCGTCAAAAACGGTGAAAACATCCTACCAAATATTCAAAAACACTGTAAGTTTTTGAGGTCAAGAAGAGGTACATGAATTACGAATATGATTCATTTCGCAAAGTTACAATTGATAGTTCGCAAAGAATCAGTATCTCAAAAGGGTGCATTGTTTCAAAATCTAACAGATGATCTTTATGGTATAAAGTTTGCAAATGTTCAATGAGGATATTTATTTCCCTATGATTTAATGAAAGAATGGATAGGACGCTCAAATGATTAATTTGAATTTAAATTTATTTGATGTACGATTTGCTCGAATAATTTCATTTGAAAAGCCATATTTTCTGTAACAGAAACTATGCTTTCTTGGATATTGATAGTATGATGGTCAAAAGTGCCTTGCAAACCTTTACAGACGAAAATAACTTTTTAATTCTGTAGATTCAGTGCGTGTTGATTTTCATGTAGTTTTGGATTGGTTATATAATTTAAATTAATGAGGAATTGAGTTTTATGACGATTTTCGATTAATCTTGAATTTCCTAGCGGCAGTTTGATTACCGGAGGTGCTTTGAGCAGAGGGTTCATCACTAGCGCTCGAATTGGTAGGCATTGGACTGGTAGAGCTCTGTAAAGGATTTTTACGTTGAGGCTTGATTCGTCTCAGCATGTGTTTTCTATCTTTGATTAAAATTTGATTTCCTTGTTGTTTGAAAATAGTGTGTTTTTGATATTTTGGTTTGTCCTTAGTTTGTCTGATTGGGATTTTGATATAGATCGGAGATTTTAAAACGGGGCTCTTGGATACGCGTTTTTCGTTAATTTTGTTAGTTTGTTTTTTTAATTCATTATAAGAATCGTGAGCGATTTGTTTATTAATTTTGTCTTTTTCTAATATTTGTTTAAGATGTGATGAATAAGGGTCTTCAGTACTACCGTATAATAAATCAAAAGGTGTATGTTTTTTAGTAGAATGAACAGATTGATTGTAATTTAATATAACGTCAGTCATTAGGTCAGTAGTAGTGTCTGTTTTTCGAGTCTGTCTTAGGATTCGAAATTTTTCTCCAATGGTACTATGTAATCGTTCAATTGGTGCAATAGAACTAGGATTGCTGGTGCTTCCTAAGTGCAAATGTATTTCATGAGCTTTACAATAATCTTTAATAACTTCTGAACGTAATTCTCCATAATCGGCATGAAGTGATTTTGGAAATCCATGATGTGAAAAGAAATGTTTCATTTTAGATAGTATGTCAACGTGATTTCGTGACATGGTCTGGTAGGCTTGGGCATATCGACTAAAGTAGTCTATAAAAGTTACATATTTAGTATTTTCAATAGTAAAAATATCTATGAACACTAGTTGGAATGGTTTGTTACTGAAAAATGGGCCTTGGATTGGTTCTTTGTAAGGTTTTCGTTCGTATTTAGCTTTTAAACAGATTTCGCATTTATTAATGATGTCAGTTATAAGGTCTTTAAGTTTTGGTGTATAGTGAGTCTTTTGGAAATGAGAATAAGTTTCATTAATTCCGTTGTGAAATTTATGATGGTACAAGGTTATTTCGTCTTTCAATTCTTGTTTGTCTAAATAAATTGGTTTGAATGCAGCTTTTTCCAGTACAGTTTTGCAGAAAAAGATTGTGTCATAATTTTACTAAGTATGGGCAAAAGTTTCTGATCGTCGTACGAAATTCCGTATTTAATACCAGGGGTACAATAATTTTTTATACAATCCAAAATAAATGAGGAATATAAGTGATTGATTAAAGAGCACCTTAGTGTCTTATTCGGAAGTAATTTGAATCTTGTTTTTCTTTTTACCTGTTATAAATTCAATTCGGTGAGGATAGGCATAAAAGTTTTTGTCTGAAAATTGAATCGAGTTTGGGTTTGATTCAGGCGAAGTGTGTCTCGTGTTAGTTGATCTGTTGTCTGTTTCGTGAATAGTCATTTCTGATTCGGGTGCGTTAGGGATCATTGATTCGGTTTCGAGATAATCCTGAACATTTATCTGGATTCGGCTTAAGGTGTCAGCAACTAAATTTGTTTTGCCTTTTTTATATTTGATTTCGAAATCGTATTCCTCAAGTTTGATTTTCCATCTAATTAATCTCTGGTTTGGTTCTTTCAAATTTGATAACCACACCAACGGTTTATGATCAGTCTCAATCAGAAATCTATGTCCAAATAAATATGGTCTAAAGTGTCTGCATGAATCAATAATGGCTAAGAGTTCTTTTTCAATGGTGGAATAATTTTGTTCAGAAGAGCTTAATGTTCTTGAATGAAAACTGATAGGTCTTCCGTCTTGTGATAGAACACTTCCTATCGCAATATTTGAGGCGTCGGTTGTTAACGTGAACTTTTTTGAAAAATCCGGATATTGGAGTACGGGTGAATTAGTGATAGTCTTTCTTATTACATCAAAAGCTTGAATGTAATCAGGATCTGAAATGTTGATTTTCTGGTCTTTCTTTAAACATTTAGTGAAAGGTTTGGCAATTTTGGCAAAGTCTTTAATGAATTTTCTGTAATAGTTGGTTAATCCTAAAAATGATTGAATTTGTTTGATAGTTTTTGGTATTGGAAAATCTTGAATGCATCTGATTTTATCCGGATTTGGTTTAATTCCGTTTGGCGTTATTACATGTCCCAGGAACTCTGTTTTGTCAAGTTGTATTTTCAATTGATGTTTAATTAAAGCTTGAAATATAGATTTCAAATGAATAAGGTGGTCTTTCAATGATTTTGAGAAAATTATTATGTCATCTAAATAGACGAAACATATTTTTCCGATGTAAGGTTTTAAAACAAAATTCATCATTCTTTGGAATGTTGCTGGAGCGTTTTTCAGTCTGAAGGGAATTCGTAAGTATTCATAGTGCCCGTTGTCGACGGTGAAGGCAGCCTTTTCAATTGAGTCTTTGTGCATAGGAATCTGATGGAATCCTTGTGCCAGATCTAACGTTGAAAAATATTTGGCTTTGCCTAAACTCTCTAATATTTCTTCAGTTCGGGGCAAAGGATATTTATCTTCGATAGTAATGTCATTTAGTTTACGAAAATCGATTACCATGCGATATTTTTTAACGCCGGATGCGTCAGGCTTCTTATTTATGATCCATACAGGTGATGAGTACGGACTTGTACTGGGACGGATGATGTCATCTTGCAAAAGTTTAGCGACTTGTTTCTGAATTTCGGTTTTTAAATAGACTGGATAGCGAAAAGATTTTACAAATATTGGGTCGTCGTGTTTTGTTCTGATAGAATAAGATGTTACGGTACATGGCTCTAATTTTTCGTTAGGTTTTAGAAAAGCTTCAGGAAATTTTCTACAAAGTTCTGTTATCTTGTATTTTTCCTCGTCATTCATGTGATCAGTTCTTATTAAAGTTCCAATATCAGTTAAATTATATTCATTTTGGGGTGTTTCAATGTCGTAATTATCCAAATTGTCGTATTTGATGCATTGATAGTTTAAATCTAATAGATTTGGATTTTCTGGGTATAGGACTTCGTAATTATTAACGGTACAAATCATTTCGGATGTGTAATCGTTATAATTTAGATATTTAATAGGTGGAACGATAATTTGTCCATTTTTGATAGGGGATTTTAGAACTTGATTTTTGATTACAGTGTTCGGGACTTTACGTGGTATTTTGTCAGTGTGGCAGATAAAGTTTAAACGATCAATGGGTAGCAAATTCTTAGATGTTTGTAAAGTAGCTTGAAATTTTTGTAGATCATAATATCCTAGCAAACAGTCAAAACGTTCGTGCCAGTCTAAAATGAGAAATTCAATTTCAGTGTTAATGCCATGTTCATTGAACAAAGGAATTCACCGTATTCACCGTATTCACCGTGTTTAGTACCAATGACAGATTTTATTGAAAAGTGTTTTGGATAAATGTAATCTGGAAAATAATTGAAAGCAATTTGAGTGTTGATCAAAGAGACAGATGCACCAGTGTCTATAAGAACTAGCAAATCTAAATTTTGTAAATAAATGTAAATGTGTGTTCTCATAATTATTGAGATCTAAGTCAATGGGTTTTGATTTGGGGCTTTCGGAAAATTTTGAGTTGTTTCTTCAGGGGGAAACTCGACAGTAGGGTTACTATCTGAATTTTCATATTCTTGTTGGTCATAATTTTCATAATTTGGATCATAGTATTGCTGTTCAACGTATTCTTGTTCGTTTTGTGATTGTTCGGTCGCTTCGGTGTTGGTTAGTTCTTCAGCGATAAAATTTGGTCTTTGTCCGTGATTTGAGAAAAAGTTAGAACGGTATTGATTCTGTTGTTGCGAGGGGCGGTTCGTAATAGTTGATGTAGAATGGGTGTCGGTTTAAAGTTTTTTGGTGGACCTTGTCTATTTTGTGGATAGAAATTAGGCTGTCGTGGTTGAATTTGTCTTTGAAATTGATTATTAAAATGATTTGGTCTGATGTTAATCGGGCCAGTTGGGAAGTTAGATCATTGTGGCTGTTGTTAAAATTGCGGATTTTAAAATTGCGGATTGTAAAATTGTTGGTTTGAAGGGAATCGCCACATAGGTGTATTTTGAACGGTATTTGTAGGTTTCGGTTTTTGAATGGCGTTAGTATTTTTGGCATTTTGTTTAGTAAATACTTTGCATTGCGATTGTATTTGGAAATTATCGTATTTTCGGCAAATTTGTAAGGCAGCTTGAAGAGTTGTAGGTGTTGCGTTAAATAGGAGTGATTTATATGGTTCTTTAATACCAGTTACAAATGAATTTAATGCAGTTTCTGTGTAAAGGCCGACTCTAGATCAGAAAATTCCAAAAGAGGATATTCTCTAAGAATATGTAATTTTTGTGCTGGGATAAATTTCTAAGTTCATCAAGTAGCATTAATTCAGATTTTGAATCTTTGTAACGTTCTTTGAGAATTTCTTCAAATTCTTGCCAAGTTTGAGGATTATTTCGTTCAACGATAAGAGAAGGTTCTCCTTGTAGTTTGGATTTTACGTACGATAAAGCATGAATTTGGTATGGGCCATGCAAAGCGGCAACAAATTCTCTAGATTTACGTAAATATACAGATAAATTATTTGATGTTTCAGAAAAAATAGGCACACTATCTTTCAATAGGTTAAATAACATTTGTGGATTGTCACCCATTTTTGTTCTGAATTCCTCTCTAACGTTAGCTTGGTTTTTTACTGGTTGTCTTCTAATGGGTGATCGTTCTCGTACTGGAGATGTACCAAAAGTTTCTTTGACTAAATAGATAAAATGGATTTGGCTTACTCTAGCGTTATGTGAAAAATCAAATTTTTCATAACGGAGACTGCTCTGGTTCTTGTAGCTCTCTGTTTCTCTAAGCTCGTTCTGCAGGGACCTCGGACGTGGCTCTCAGGTTCTCAGATCGTTTCTCTTACGGAAGTGGATACTTCCTACCTCACAATGGTTGGTCACACAGAAGGGACGTAGTTCAGATAACCTGATGAATCTCGAAGATTTTACTGATGGTTGGCTGGGCTCGTACAAACTTCCAGATGTTTTCCACCAAGGCGTATAACGATCCTGTTCGCAGCGCCAGATAAAGAATGCACACGTCGTACGGTAAAAAAATAACAGACTTTATTGCAGGAACGAAGAGTGGTTACAAGTATTGAACAAAATCTGTCTGTGCCTCGATATAATTCTAGTATTTATAGGAAAAATAACAGAGCTGTATCGAAAAAAAAGAAGTAAAAGTAAAAATATTTTGAGGTGATTCAGCGATTTTATACCCGGGCGAAACAGAGGGAAAAAATTGATGGATAATGTGGCTTGGCACACCGTTGGAATATGAGCCTGTGGCTACATTGCAAGCAACACATATTGAATTCACTTTCAAAATTTGCACAGGAAAATCAGACGTATGTCTAATGATTGGGTCAAGACGTCGAGGTTGAAATCCGAGAAGGGATGCAATGGTACCATTCTGTGAAAAATCAATCGTAAAATTGGCTTTGAGAGAAACTGTTGTGGAATTCATATGAGGTGTAATGCTAATAATTTTCCCTTCTAGGAGATTTTGATCTAAATAATCAATAATATCTCGAATTTCATATGCGCCTGTAGGAAATGTAAGTAGTTCATTGTCACATGGAAACTTATTATTAGTTTCGTCTATATTGGGAATAACATTGAAGGATTCAAAGTTGCACAACCCGATTTCATAGTCGACATTATCATCAAGATATAGCGGGGGATTAAAATGTGATTGGAGAGTGGAAGAAGTTTCCGACAGCGTAAATGTGAGGGACGTCATTACTGTAGAACGTTTGAATTGCAACTTCTGTATTAGGAGTAAAAGTAAGAAATATATAGAAATTGTAAGCATAGCTGTCCACAATTGTGAGCATTAAACTTTTGTATTGGAGTATAATTGTATACAATGCGAACATTTTTATCACTGCTACCAAAATATCTTATCAGCTGCAGTGGAGGGCGCAGATTCCCATATGAGTCAAAGTATGAGACAAGATTGCCATTTTTCACGTATGCAACCCAATGAGTCCCGTCGCCAGACGAGTCATCCAAATTAACAATTCCACTTTCACAAGTCTGTATACCCTTTGGTAATTGATCTTTCATGAATACTCTTCGAAAAAAAGGAATGTTAAGTTGTTTTGCAAAGTAAAGTAGTTCAATATCGGAAAGCGCATGGGATGGTAGGTGCCTTAGCAGTTTTTTTTGTACGGTGCTAAAAAAAAACCCTTTCCCGTGGGAGAAACCTTGCGAGAGGCTTCTAAAGCCAAGTTATGACGCTTCTGTTCCGCAAGTTGTGACTGATTGGCTTTAGCATCATTGACAGCTTTTGCAATGGAGGCAGCACCACCTCCAAGAGCTCCAAGAGCCCCGAGTATAGGTAGAAGTAAAGGTAGAAAGCCACCTGTTTTCGGTAGAGGCAGAATCCGCAAACGTCGCTTGGAACGTTGCGATTTTGGTGATTTTTTTCTCAAACCCTTTCCCATCTTGTTCAAACGTTTCTTTCTTTGTTGTGTACGATGTTTTCGCAGGCCAAAACCCATCTTTTTTTTAGATTTCATTGCTCCAGCAACTCCCAAAGCTGCCATTCGTTCTCCAAAAGAGCTGTCGGATGCGAAGGCTCGCTGTATAGCTTGATCAGCCAAAACTTTGTCCGCTTGTTGACGCGCAGTGAGATCTTTCTGCTGAGAATAGAAAATGTCGTGTTGTTTGCAAAATTCGTCAAGTGGATTTATACCAACATCTCCTCGTTGAAGACGCTTTTGCAGTTTGGTTGACGGGCCACAGAAATTGTAACCTGGGATGTGGGCTTCGAAAGGGAGATTTTCTATTACGTTGGAAATGAGGCCGCGACCTCGCACGATCGGTGTCTGCTGGAAAGTACGTGTCATGGTGGAGTGCACAATCATTATATACTCTTATTACGAATAGAGCGGGAGGTACTATATATGTATATAGGAGTCCATTTGGATGGCTACTAGTAATCACACAACATCATGAGAATTGAGCAGACGATACCAAAGCTTCAAGTAGATAATTACGATGGAATAGTGCAAGAAAAAACGTTCCGAAAACATGGAAGTGTGTTCAATGGTGCTTCTAAACGGGCTCTAATTGTTGGTAATAGTGGTGCTGGAAAGACTAATATCATGATCACCCTATTAATACACCCTCACGGATTACGATATGAAAATGTCTATTTGTTTTGTAAATCACCCTACCAAACAAAGTATCAATTTCTTCGCTCAGTTTTAGAACCTCTAAAAGAGATAGGATATTACGAGTACACGAACGGTGATGATATTAAGCCTCCAGCGGAAATCGAATCAAATGCGATTATGATTTTTGATGATGTTGCATCATGTAATCAGGATATAATGCGTCAGTACTTTAGTTTTGGGCGACACAAAAATACAGATTGCTTCTACCTGTGTCAAACATACACAGCAATTCCCAAGAAGTTATTAAGAGATAATGCAAATCTTCTCATACTTTTAGCACAGGATGCATTAAATTTGAAGCATATTTAAGATGATCACATTAGCTTGGATATGTCGTTTCAACAGTTTAAAGATCTTTGCTCACTGTGCTGGCAGGAACCATACGGTTTTGTTGTGGTTGATAAAGATTCACCCAAAAATAATGGGAGGTATCGGAAAGATTTCGACAAGTATATATACCTATTGTGTGGTATATAAAGAGCATGTAAGATTAGCAGTACCAGTGTTACGCCAGCCTCTCCATAATACGTGATATGGATCCAAAAATTGCAAAGGAATTGGTGAAAGCCAGACAAGCAGTCAAAGAAAAGTATCGAGCATTAAAGTCGGATATTGCCCAATCGGAAACCCAATTGCAAAAGCAGTGGAAACCTATATCGGAACCGCTGCAGCAGTTACTTGAAAAAGTAGAGCCAGTCAAAGTAAAACCAGAGAACTGGAAATTCGAATCTAAAACATCAACACCTCAGAAATCACCACTTTGACAGAAATTAACACCGACAAATATATACAATAGATACCTCCCCACTACTACAAGTTTCCTTGAAGACACATTCTCTGACCTTCCCGAGCACTCTATTTTACAAGACGTTTCCGGGATAGAAGAATCACGTCCCGATGCTACAGTACTAGAACGAGAACGTGATGTTGACGAGCAAATGATTGCTCACACACGGGAAGAGTTTCGGCGTATAAGCAAAGCACCTGGTTATCAAAGTTATTTAGAACAGTTCCATCCATTACCTCGTCAATATATCGATGAGTCTCTACGGGGGGATGAAGAAAATTTTGATCGATATCACGGTATAACACACGATTGGATCGGCGAAAAATGAAAATTGGGGAATACCCCAATAACCCTCGAGGAGTCGGATCTAATCTTAGACAATATCAGATATCCAGGAACGCCAGGTCTGTACGAGTTGTTGTTCAAGAAAGACCCTCGTGGATATAAACAGACCGATCTGGAGCACTACATGGATATGCTAAAACTGACCAACGCATATCGACGTAATTTTGATTCTAATTTACAAATTCAAGGAGTAAACACTTTCAAGTATAAAACAATAATTCGACCATATTTAGTAAAACACAATCTAATAAAAGTATCCGCTGAGGGTGCAAGCAAAACGGGGTCTTTTCAGAAACCGGCACCTCCTAAAGCTCGACCCAGATCACAATCATTGAAACATGTAAGGGGTGGTATATTAGAGTATTCCCCGAAACCAATTGAGTATGTGTATTTTGATGATCCCAATGAGTTATATAGGTAATAACGTGATGCGCTGTCCAATCATACAAGAATGATGGACTTTAAAAAGCAGGTCATTGAGGAACTTCATAAACCGGCTCGCAGAAATTATAGACGTCGACGCGTTATTGTGAAGGGTATCAACGATCTCCTACAGGCAGATTTGGTGGAAATGCTTCCGTATCAGAAAGTTAACAAAGGATTCCGTTACATTTTAATTGTCATCAACGTTTTTAGTAAATTTGTGTGGGCAGAACCAGTCAAACGAAAAACTGGAAAAGATGTGACAGCTGCAATGAGTACAATTTTATCGCAAATGCAAACAATTCAGAAAAATTTACAAACAGACCCGGGTAAAGAATTCTACAATAGTGACTTTAAGAAGTTAATGGAAGCGTACAAAATTAATCATTACAGCTCCTACTCAGCGACCAAAGCAAGTGTAGTTGAAAGGGTGAATCGCACTTTGAAGAATCGTATGTGGAAGCAGTTCAGCGTTCAGGGATCGTATAAATGGTTAGATCTCCTATCATCAATCGTTGATGCATATAATAACACCAAACACAGCACAATTCGGATGAAACCCAAAGACGTGAACAAAAGTACAGCAAAAACACTGTTGAGAATGGCATACACACATTTGAAAACGTTAGATCCAAAGGGTGTAAAATATCAACGTGGAGATCATGTCCGCATAAGCAAACATAGGACAGCATTTGCTAAAGGATACACTCCTAACTGGTCCAACGAAAATTTCACAATCCGTAAAATACAGTATACCAATCCCACATCATACTTACTGGCTGATTCGAGCGGTGACGAGATTCTAGGTGGATTTTACGCTGAGGAGCTTCAAAAAGTCAAGTATCCAAATATCTATCTTGTAGAGAAAGTGGTGCGACGTAAAAAAAATAAAGTGTTAGTCAAGTACTTACGACTGGATAACAGACATAATTCGTGGATTAGAAAAAGTGATTTACTTGCATGACATGTATATTATTTAAACCAATCAGTTTTATAACACAGCTTTTTCAATAAAACACGATAAGTAATTTAAAATTCTTTTTATTACAATGACTTTACAGAATAGTTAGGATAGTCTGAATAAAATTTCAGCGTTGGAGCCTTGTTGAATTCCTTCAAGTTTGGATGTTGGTATGCCAGTTCCATAGCAGTCCTGATGTTCTCCGAATGCGGCAAATCAGAGATGTGTTGGATGACGAAGTCTCGCACATCCATGTTGGTGGTTCGCACATCTTGGACAAGTGTGTTGAAATACTTATTAAACTCCTGAGTTTTCAGCATATTAACGGTGTAGGCAATCAGCGGGGCTAATTGAAATAGCTTCAATACGGTCTCCTTACCCAAATAAACGACTTTTCTCCATCGATCTTCAATTTTGATTGTTTGAAAATCTGGAAATCTCTCAAAGGTGATACAGACGGAGTTGGCACTGATCGAATGGAAAATATCATCACTGAAGAAAAAATTGGTTATAACGCCTTCTTGATTTAATATCTCATACCAGTCTTCTTCATTTAACGTAACCCCATTGTTTTTCAAACCACTGATATTGATTACAGGGTGGAAGCTCCACTGATATGCTCGACCAATGCTTATCCATTTTGATTTCGATGGATTTAGATGATATCGTTGCTCCTGGATGACAATTAACGATGTCTGATCTACCCCACTTTGTACAGATCGTACCCCCTTGTCGTTTTGCACACCGGCACTCATGTTGTAACGTTATGTGAAATTCAGAAGACTGGTATATGAAGCTTCGTGGCTAACTTTATACAGTGTTGATCACCCCTCCATTCACCAACTTCCCCCTCCCAAAAGTTGACGCAAGTGCAAGGGAAAATGATACTACCGTTCATGCTGACATAGATATATATATATATATATATTAATGAATTTTGTCACACACAGAGTATTTACGTTTTGGATAAATCACACAAGATCTTTAAACATGCTACATAATCTTCGAATTTGGTGGATGGCCATTTCACACTACAGGGTCCAGAGGTCCATCCGAGGGTTTCATCTCCAATGTTACCCTTGGCTATATTTTTCTTTATCCATTTCAATACAGTTAATGTCTCATCTTATTTTCTACATCAAATACAAATTTAATATCATGCTGCTGTATAATATCGATTAAACGTTCTAGTGATACACAATCAGCTAGATATGCGATTTTACAGATGCTTTCATCGATATGAGATACAATGTCTTTATACCTCTTCGTAATATTTTCTACAGGATGCGGTTTATCTACATCTTCATAGTTACTATCAGATAACAACTTACATAAATAATATTGTTCATATGCTGATGGTGTGTAGGGCATATTTTCCAGTAGGTCTCCAAATTCTTTGATGCTTAAAACCTTATAATCTCTCTCTTTTAAACTTTGCAGTGTTTCCTGTACCACCCAATCTAGATGTTTCTTTTTTGTTATTACACTGGAAAGCACGTGGGGATGGCAACTGTGGGCATTGGTAATCCAATTGAATACTTCGTCAGGTATTGTAATTTCCTCTAGCACAAAGTCCAGCACTGGAAATTCTCGTTTTTCTGGATTTCGAGTCACAAATTGTCGAAGCTGGTTTTTCAACACCTCTTCAGTAACATGACACAATTGCATGTACAGTGAATAGTATGTCGTAGTACTCATCTTTGAAATTGAATGAGGTGCGTTTGTTAAGAATATATTTATATTCTTGTCCCCACCACAAACCCCTATTCTATGATCATGCTATCTGATGCTTATTATTCAACACAATGGCTTCTTGTATCAAGTGCAGTAATGTATCCAAGCGCTCCTCATGTGACATGTTATGAAATAATATATCTTGATGACCCCAAGCTAATGTCTTTGTTGAGTTTGGTATCAAGAAACGTTTATCATCCGTACTGGTCAATGCTACTTTTTTTATATAATTTGTGTAGATATTGTGCGACTCCGATTTAAATACATAAATCGTACAGTATACAGATGTCCGTTTCTCCTCAACAATATCCTTATAATGTAGCAAATGTAACTGATTTTTTACACTCGCCTTAGATATACCTTTGGCTCGTTTAGCTACTTGGTCTACCGCATCTATACAGTATGCTTTGGGACCTGTACCATAAAATGCAGACAGTATCTTACCAGCATATTCGTCTTCCATCTTACCCAACTCTGACGCTGTTTGAGGCATATTATGTGGGTTGGAAGCATCATAATTGGATGTGTCAAAGTAATGTATGTGTGATTTCATGTCCTCATAGAAATTATCGGTTTCAACATGTACTATTAGCGAATCAGTGTCCGTGTAAGCTACAGACACCTTATCACCATATTGACGCTTCAGAAAGTCATAGAAAAAGTCATATATTACCGTTGTTGAGACATCTAAAATACAAAAGCCAACATATGTGGGACGACAATAATCAATCATTGTTTTTTCCATTTGAATGGCTACTAAGTTTTCAGAAAATATTCTGTGCTCTTTAAAAGTTGGTTTACTAATATAATTTGCAGCACCTATTTTATGTTTAGATTTTTCAAATTGAGTAGCTAATTTGATGTCTACTCTGTTCTCCATGTTTTCAATGGTTTTTCCAAAAATACAATTGATCATTAGTTTGAACAAATCTCTTTCAAAAGGATTCAGTGGTGCATTTCTAAGTGTGGTGTTTAACTGTATGTAGGACTTCAACCAGGCAGATTGTGTGAATTTAATGACTCTATGAATTTTTGTTAAAATAATACCATGTTTCAAACATTGCTTTAGATTACGATAATGGATAATGTAGCGTTCTTTGTTGTGCAAATTTGGAATTAATTTTGAGCTTTGACTGTCGGGTGGTTTAAAATTTTCTGGACAAAATGGTAAATCGTTGAAATAATCATGTAGCTCAGTCGGTATATCGACTTCTAATGCATACCCAATATCCGATGTATCCGAAATCTGTGTAATTGTCTCTTGAATCCTATCCATCTCATCTCGTGTTAACCATGCAAAATTACCAGTTGGTAGGTACTGTTGCATAATAATGACCGTATAAATTTGTTGCATCAAGGTAAACTAAATACGATGATGCCTTTGACGGATCGTAATGTGGTAGAAATTTATTGTTCGCCTCAACTTTACGTGAGGTACATGTACTGACTCCCCCCCGAATTCCCTTTTTAAAAAAATTAATCATATCAACATCTGTAAGCAGCTGTAACTCTACTTTGCTGTATCGTAGCATCGCATCCCAACTCAAACCGGGGGCTGTAAAATAGTGAGCTGGATCAAGCTTGTACGTTTTTAAGCACAAATCTCTGAAATTGTCAAAGATATCTGTTAAAAGAAGAACATCCGAAGTCAAGTAAAAATCAGAGTATTCCCCCTAATTTTGACACCCCATTACTTCCCAGACATGACGTGCTCGCTCATAATCCTCGACAGAAATGTGTTCATCACGTATTTCATCATAAAAGTCTTGTTGGGATGGTAGACATGTTTCATCGTATTTATCAAACCTATTAAGATATGTATATGGAAATATACCTTTGCATCTCATGTAGGAGAACTTTTCGTCCTCAGGAAAGACTTTTCGTACCGTCCGACATTGTTCTGCGCTTAAAAAGGATGCCAAGGTTTCTAATTTTGACGATAGAAACTGATATGAATCGACAAATCGCATCTGCAAAAATACAGTTTGTGATTTTCCCTCGTGGGAAATGTACGTGTCTACAGGTATCAATTTCGTAAATGAAACATATTTTTCAAAAGATTGTGGAATCACTTTAATTTGTTCTTGCTTCATAGCGAGGTGTTTTATGAATAGGTGTGCATCATAGTTTTTGAGGTTGTGGAAAAATATTGGAATGTATTTTGGGATCTTATAGTCTAGATTGCATTTACTATGTGCTGCGCCACGATATTGCCCGGTGAAATGACAGTGATCCCTAACTTTTCTATTTGTATTGGTAAATGGATGTTCACAAATGAAACATACCTCTGCTTTATCAAACACATTTTTATCGTGCGCCGTCATTTTCATCGCTACATTTTGTTTTAAATATTGCTCATATATTAATTTAAGATCAGCCTCTAAGCGCGTAACAAAAATTTGTGCAGCATCCTCACCCCTATACAGTTCGAGCTTGGATAGTGAATCATTATAAGAACATTTAATATAATAAGCAAATGAGGAGGGTCTATGTTCATACTTTTTGATGGTACATACATCCTCTGAAGCACTTGAGTGATTGTCTATCGGAGCTAGGATGCATTCAAAGTCCGCATAAACGCAAAACGGTAGTCTTAATTGTTTGTGATGCTGTTCAAATTTCAGCACATTATCCATTACCGTGTTTCCAAGGCGATCAACTCTGGTTTCCAGTTGGGGCAGCTTAACTGCAATGTGTTTGCAATAGTTTTGGATGTGAATTTCCAGTTTGTCTTTTGATGCAAAGTATTGTAAACAGCCATCACAAAAATGCTTTACTCTCGTATTAAGTGACAACTGACTTGAAACGAGTCTTGAAAAGTTGGTAATTAAGCAGTAATGATGGTTACCTTCCGAATCATCAATAAGTAATAAGTTCAGATGAGTGGGTTGTTTTTGCGCCGTGTAATGTAATTCCTTTTCTATTCCATAAACGTTGATTGACATATTATTCAATCTTTCAAATTCTGATATTGACTTGAGAGCAACTGGAAAGTCCATTCCTGCAAAGTTTAAACCAGGAATGTTCGAAAAATATGGATATGATGTTGTTAGTGACGCTCGACCCTTTGGTTTTATCATACCAGCTACAATCGACCATGCAAAGCAGTACTCATCCGTGTTACGTATGTTGAGTACAGCTTTTTTGTTCGTGATTTCCTTAGGAAGCGGCAAATATGCTGCTGCCCTCAACGGATTATATTTATTAATATTAATTTCTAAATATAAAATGTTTTCCAACACCCACCCTGAGTCTTTTTCTGCAAAGTCTTTCGATTTTTGTTCGATTTTACTACCTAGATCATAATAGATTTGATTCAAATTTGAGGATTGTGTAATTATTACATTGTTCGTATTGTGGGACTTTACCTCTCGTCGGTTTTTAGCTGGTAAAATATATAAACCAAAAAGTTCCATATTTATTTTGAGTGTTGTATGCTTATGCAACTCATTTTCAATTACGTTTATGGAGTCCTGTGCCACATTATTCATATATTCAGTAACGTTCAAAGTCTCTATGCTAGCGGTTATTTGATAACTAACTATTCTACCTCGGAATACACTTCGACATACTGACACATTATTTTGTAAAGGTCTCCATAGATGTGCCTTATGTTTAATGCTTTTCAGATGTACCGCATGTGCATTCCTCGATACCTAACAGCTGCAACTCTCACAGCGAATTGTCCTGCTACCAGCACTCGCTTGTGAATCGTTGCCGGTGGTTGAACTCTCTCGACTTGCGCCCGGCACTGCGACGTCGGATGGTGTAGGACTCATTCGACTGGTTCCAGGCACTGCGACGGGGGGTGTTGCAGGGTTCACTCGTCTAATGTTGACACCCCTGCGGCTGTCTGGGTGATGAAATCTGCAATAGTTGGCTCATTGTTAGTAATCTCACCCTCCATACGTTGTTGCTTGGAAGGTCTTTTCTCGCTTATGCAGACCTCTCTAAGATGTCGCAGTAAATTATGGCGTGCTGAGAAGGTGTGCTGACATCGAGAACATTGCAACTTGTCTGCAGTGCGGCGCGAAGAGGATGCATTACTGTCCTCGAGACTTGGGGATTGGGGAATGATGGAGGTACCACCTTTCTGGTTAAAGGATGCTGAAACAGATAATTCTGTTAGTGATTTTATTCGATTTTATTTTCTAATTGTTCAATACCTGTTCCATCTCGAAGACAGATGCGCTTCGATGCTGGCTCACCATCTTGGCTGCACCGCTCTCTAGCGTGCTTCAACAAAATTTTTCTCGCCGTGAAGGTCCTTTCGCACTTTAGACATTGGAACATCGTGAAGTGCGTACGTATTTACTCTGTTCCTGAAACAAAATCATTATATATATATATATTTTCGGCTGCGCCTAGCGTTATCCAGTGTGGCCACGGGGAGGCGGCAGCTACCACAGCATCTTCTGGATCTGCTTACGTCGCATCTGAAACAAAAAATATTTTAGCTGCTGTACGTTGTTTTGAACCCTTTGCATGTTTTTTTTTTGTCACACCTCTACATGTCTACCGGTATGTAGTACCTTAACATCAGCAGATCCAGCGCCTCAATATGCACATTCTGTAATTGATGCCCATTGCGAAACCAGTTCATCCCTCTTAACTTAACTGTCCCTTCACTGTCTAGCCCCCTCCTCATTCGCAGCCCGTTCGAGTTGCGTGAGCGGCAATTCTTCAATCCACGTATCCCGATTTAGTTCCATCGCGATCTGTTGAAGTTGTGCCAACGGTTCTCTCAACTCGACGTCGCGCGCACACGCGGCCCGTTCAAGTTGCGTGAACGGCAAATCTTCAATCCACGTGTGGCGATATAGTTCCTCGTCCGCACCATACCGTTCACTCGCGACCGCGGCAGACATCAACGACTCTTGGGGTGTCGAAGTGGCTCTGGACGTGGACGGCCTCGACTCCGCTCCCAACAAACTCAGTTCCAATGATGGCCAAGCATTGTACGCATCCATCATTGTTGCACTGTCCAGGTCCGGATTGAGGGATGCTAACAATGCTTCAATGTTGATGTCGCCATCATCGTTCGACACATTTTGTCCGTCGGCGATAAAATTGTTAAGCATGGTTTGCGAGCCCATGCTAACAATTTCCACGGATACATCATTGGCCGAAGTATTAGGCATCGACGTTGTTCGAGGGCACTCGGTCATCGAAGCGCGAACGGTTTCAAGTGGTGGCACAACCTGAACATTTTGTAGTATACGTACAACACGGGGCTTCAACAGTTTTTCTAGAATTGGGCGCTGACTATCGGAGAATGTGCAGTACTTGCACTGCTTTCCAGGCGCACACAGACACTCTCTTGAGCACATTTTGGCAACCTAACACAGAAAACAATTTTATAATATACTATTTTACTGATGCGTCCAATATGGAGCGTTTAGACTGCAGTGACGGTGTGCACCATCGACACTGATATAAATACATGTCCCTCCTACCCACCTTTCACGACTTTCTACCTTCGCGATATCTACCATCTGCCTTTTAATTAACAGTCAAAATTTGTTACCCCATAATCGTTTATGCTCGATTTTACATTTCACAACATCCCATATTTATACTTTCGCTTTCTCGATTTTCTACCATCTGGCAACGGAGGAGGGGAGCATCTATATATATTCACTCTGGTCTCCTTTCCATTCCTTCGCGTCTCAGTCATCGTCATGGATGGTCGCGATCAAGACGATCTTCCATGAAGATGGCTGGGCTAGTCCGCTCAGTTTTGACAGCACAGAATCCACATTGATTTTATTCAATGCGGGAGGTGTTGCACCCGATGTCGGTAATGCTCTGTTAGCAGACGTAGCCGACATCGAGTCTGACGAGGAAACTGAGGGTGAAGATGCGGAGGAGGCACCTTCGTCAGAGAGTGAGTCGGAAGGTGAATTGGAGATTGAAGATCTCCATAACAACCTTGTTCCTCTTGACGAACCACTCGAGGTTGACATTCCAGAAGCAGTGCGGATTGACAATCTCGTATGGGATCTCGATGATCCATCCACAGATTCAGAGTATACCAGTCCTTAATCATGGATGGATCGTTATGCATTTTAGTTTTAAGGAATTATGTCTAAGATTTTATTTGTAAGGTTGTAGGCTTTAAGGTTTATGTGAAACATATAAATAAAAAATAAAAACACTAGAACCATTAACTATCTATTCGTTAGCCGTAAGACCATAAACCAAAACCCAGTAAAAGAGTTTACAACATCTATGCATTCTTATTATTACATCAATTTCATGTTCATAAACTTATTTTAAAAATTTTAAAATTTTCTTTAACGCGCCATTTACACCCACATCATTGTCTCTAATGACTTTATGCTTTTGTTGTATTATTGTTTATGTCTTCCAATTACTGATATCCTCGATTTCTATAAGTATTTTACAGAAATGGCTTAGTTAATGTTAGAGGTATAATACCCCTATATCTTTTTCCCTGGTGATATTACAAGAATTTGTTATTAGCATTTCCATCTCTATATTACCACTCCATTCCATTTCACTACATACTTTTATGAAATTATACCATCTAGGTTAGGGGTAATTCACCCTTATATCTGTTTTCCTGGTGATACTACAACGTTTTGTTATTAGCATTTATGTCTCTTTATAATCCCTGTAATCCATTTCACTACATACTGTTATGAAATTTTATCTTTCATGTTAGGGGTACTTCACCCCCTATATCTTCGTTACTACCCTCCCTACACAAAAACTTCATAAGAACAAATAGGTCCCTTGTACTAGCTGTCTTCATTCCCATACTTTTTTTTGTTATTATTTAAAAAAAAAATGTCAAAACTGATTCAAACTGTGCTAAGTCCGCGGACACCAAAAAATTTGTGATTCGACATAGACCCTCACCCTCCCCCCTACTCCAACGGCCAGCGCCCCTCCTCCCCCCCCTCTCGATAGTGATTACCCCACATTTGAGCTCAAAAATACCCTTATCTCAATTTCATCCCCCGGGGGTGAATTTTTCTTTATTTTTTTTCTCTCTTATTATTACTCCTAAAATTTTTCTGTTGACGCCTAAATTCATCAAAAAATTCAAACTTTCAGATATATCTATTACGTGTCTTATTCTATGAGTACTTGCACCCCTACAATTTTTTTTCCTTTTTTTGCTCTTTTTGTAAAATTTTCTATTTAACATTTTCACTATTATAAAGACATTCTACTACGACATACTTTTAACGACTTAAACATCTCAACCCCTATACTTTATTTTTTACTACCCCTCTCATCCCCCGAGCTCACTACTCTTCTCTAATTATGTTTTTATATCTCTTCACGATACCAGTACTTGTTCCCATTAAATTTGATACCTCACTTGACTATATCCGTATACTTCCTTCTACTATCGGGGGCTGCTACCCCTTTACAAAAATCTTTAATATCTCCGTTGTTTGGTTACCGATCAATTTCAAACTTTTACCAAACTGTGCTTTGATTTTTTTACAATTTTTTTTTCACCCCTTTCTAGGGGTTGTCACCCCCAATTGCTTTAATTTACATTTATCACTATATTTTTTATTTTTTCACTGATTTTTGAAATTCTTCAAACTACCTGTCTTGTATTTGCATCCCTACACTCAGTATCTTCACTTACCTTATCACACCGCCTGTTTTTCCCTATGACTTCGACACCTTCCTTCTTAGGCAACTATATAGCTGCTTCGCTCCCAACGGACTGTTGTCACACTGACGTACACTGCTCGATGCTATTCTTCTTTCACAATACAAGCACTTTGCTAGGTGCTTACTATGTATGTGCATCTTATTAACATATCCATCATCGTAGATACTAAATAGAGCATACTTTGCTCCTATGATGCACCTTTCACATACTATGGAGCCCATCATACTCGTACCAATGTAGTAATACTGCTGACAACGTTCTTCGCTCCATTCTACACCCCTCGCATAGCTTTCTTGACACACGCTCCATTCTACATATGCATTTCTCACACTTCCTTCATAACTCAATCCGTATGGATAGCGCACTCTATATCCATCTTGCAGTTCACTCCATTTAATTAGAAATCCATTCCCTCCTGACATCACCCCACTGGCTAGTCCTCCTCGTACTCCTACGTTTTCCAAATCTTATGGGGAGTCTAACAAAGACCACATACACTTCTCCTCGTCCTTCTCATTCGTATCGTAAATCCAGCCTATCTTATGGGGACGATGTTGCATACACGTCCCACAATAAACCAGAAATATGCTGCAACAGCACCACCCACACGCCCAGCGCCACTCCTTAGAGTACTTCAACCGTTTCTCCGTTTGACACACTAAGCACCGACTTTTCTTCACTATATTTACCATGCTATTGCAATGCTTGCAACAACTGAACTGCCTCCTCTCCGAGCGCTGCACTAATTTAAACACATATTTCCAAGGTCATACCTTCTACCACTCAAGACTTCAAGGTCACATTTCAAGGTCATATTTCAAGGTTATATTTCAAGGCCATATTTCGATTCAAGGTCACATTTCAAGGCTATATTTCAAGGTAATATTTCAAGGTTATATTTCAAGGTCATATTTCGATTCTAGGTCGCATTTCAAGGCTATATTTCAAGGTTGCATTTCAAGGTCATATTTCAAGGCCATGTTTCAAGGTTGCATTTCAAGGTCACATTTCGAGGTTAAATATGCGTTCAAGGTTGGCTCCCAAGGTCGACTCTCAAGGGCGTTCTAGAACAGACAAACCCTACCTACTTACCACATAGTTATGTTACCAACAGGATTCCATAACTTATGTATATATATATACGTATATATATATATACTAAGTAACATATAAATCCGAACACCCAGTTTAAATGGTTTTATTATAATAAAAGTTGGTGAATGTATTTATCTTACCGTAAATAACAAGTGAAAAAATTTTCAGCCTTATCAGTTGGACATTCCGGTTTTTATACTGCCTTTTTTTAATTCACTAACGCTCTAAAAATGAATATTTCAGCCGCAGTAAAGAATCAACGTTGGCGGACTTTGGTTCTTGACATCCTTTACGATCGGTTACGATGCCTAGAGTACGAAGACCTGTACGATTTCGTCAACTTAGTGAGTTTGATAGGGGCCGTATAGTGGGACTTCGGGAAGCTGGACTTTCTTTTCGGGCAATTGCAGTTAGAGTGCAAAGAAGTGTAGACACTGTGGTTAGGTGTTGTCAGGCATGGCTTCGAGAAGGCCGTACGCAAAGAGCAAGGGGCACTGGGCGCCGCCGTAGAACAACAGACCGCGAAGATCGCCGCCTAAGATTATTGGCCTTAAGGCACCGTTTCTCCACTACCAGGTCCATTGCAAATGAATGGTTTGCAGAACACGGAAGACCTATTGGCATGCGAAGTGTTTACCGACGAATGAGAAGTTTTGGCTTGTTTTCATACCGGCCATACAGGGTCCTCCCTTTAACTCGAGAACACCGACGTAATCGCCTTGAGTGGTGCAGACAACGGTCACTCTGGGATCAGGAATGGAACAGTATTGTCTTTAGTGACGAGTCTCGATTTTGTTTAGGCATGCACGATGGTCGTGCCAGGGTTAGAAGGCGACGTGGTGAAAGGAGGAATCCACAGTTTTTTGTTGAAAGACATGTTCATCACACTGTTGGAGTTATGGTTTGGGGTGCTATAGCTTATGGTTCCAGGTCACCTTTAATCTTCATCAGAGGTAACATGAACGCGCAGCGTTATATCCACGAAGTTCTAGAACCCCATCTTTTACCCTATCTTGACACCCTGGCAGATCCAACTTTCCAACAAGATAATGCCCGACCACATGTTGCAAGAGTCACAATAGACTTCTTTCAACATAATGATGTCACATTGTTACCATGGCCACCAAGATCTCCCGACTTATCCCCAATTGAGCACGTGTGGGATATGATGGGTAGGAGATTGCTCAATTTGCAACGTCCTCCTCAGACTCTAGAAGCACTTCGAGAGGAGTTGGTGGTTGCCTGGAATGAGATACCACAGGAGGACATTGACCACCTGATCAGAAGCATGCCTAGGCGCGTTGAAGAATGCGTAGCACATCAGGGTGCATCCACACATTATTAAAGGTCAAAGGGCTTTAAAGCAGTGCAATCATTTTGAAATTTTTATCATTTACTTATTATGCTTCATTAAGTACTTATACAAAATTTTATTAAAATAAAACCATTTAAACTGGGAGTTCGGATTTATATGTCACATATACAGGGTTATCCAAATTAAGTGTCCACCATTAGTAACTTTGTTATTAGTGAAATTACAAAGTTGTTTAAATTAGCAAACTAGTAGCATTTTTAACGCTGGTAAAAATGAGAAATAAAAAAAAACAATTGAGAGTCGTCATTTTGATTTTTTTCAGTAAAATAACATTTTTTTAAATGGAAACCCCTGTATATTAAATTTTTTTCTATTAAAGCATCAAATTTTAAACAAAAAAGTTCATAATGACTTTTCCGCTAAAGTCAAAAATAAAGTCAAAATAACGATAAATATTTTTAATTATTTGCAGTATTATAATATTAAGACGGCTATGAAAACAACATGGCGTTCGCGATTTGACAGCATTAAGATAAGCGACAAATTGTTAAACTGGACATACTCGCAACTAGAAGGCTTTGGAAAACAATGATAAAATCAAATAATGTCAAACATTAGTGTAAATACTTGTTTATACGCTTTATTGTGTCATTAATTTAAAGAAAAATGTTCTCCCTTGAAGAAAAGTGTGATATGTTAGAATGCTATTTAGTGTGCAGAAAATCCTCCTTGAGAGCAAGAGAATACTACAGTGAATTATATCCCGCTCGCATTCAACCGTATGAACGATATTTTCTGAGACTTTATCGAAAATTTAGGGGCAACGAAAATGTTTTTGCTAAAACAAGGGCAAAAAAAGAATTCATAATAAGCGAGGCCACGGAAATTGCAGTTATTGGATATTTATTTATTTATTTATTTATTTATTTATTTAATTACACCACCAACAGTTTATAAACCAATTACTGGTGGGAAATACCGTACATATATATATATATATAAAAATCACAAAATAAACTAATAGCATTGATTGCTTTGTAATTACCAATAAGAACCCATGAAAAGCTACAACTGATCATAGCTCAATCAAACTGTGGTAGCTCTAAAAAAAATACCGCTTTACATACTCTCTTAATAATAAAAATGGATGTGTTGAAGATATCAAAATAATTCATATAGTCATTATAACATGAGCATATCGAATATAGCGGTGAGTGCAGCAGTAGATTTGTTCGTGGGGTAGGTAGGTAAAAGGCAAGGTTGGCCCTTGTTCGTACTCTGGGTGTATTGAAATTTAGCATAGACAAAAATGATGTCATGTTGGTAATTTATAACTTTAAACAAAAAGACTAAAGATTGTATCTTCCTTCTATCATCAAGGCTGAGAAACCTATGCTTTTGAAGTAAGTTATTTTGTGAAATCCCTATGGGAGGATAAACACCATCAGTTTTGAGAGATAAATACTTCAAGAACTTCCTCTGAATTTTTTCCAATGAGTCACATGAGGTAACATAGCATGGGTTCCAGATTATTCTTCCGTATTCCAGCTTAGAAAGAACAAACGAATTATACAGCACTGTAGGTGCTGTGGTACCGATAAACTCTCTTGAATTGCGTATAACGAATCCCAGTGCTTTATTAGCAGAATTCATTAAATTAGTGAGGTGTGCACTGAAGCTCAATGTCCTGTCAAATATTACTCCTAGGTCCCTGAACTCCTCTAAAGTCTGAAGAGGAATGTTGTTAATTTTATAACTATTGGTAATTGAATTTACTCTCCTAGTGAAAGTTAAAGATTTACATTTGCTCACGTTGATAGGAAGTTTATTAGCAGTACACCACTCAGACAGTCTGTCAAGATTCCTTTGTAAATAAAAGCAACTAGATGGATCATCAATTTGCCAGTAGAGTTTTACGTCGTCAGCGTAGAGCAGAATATTGCAGTCAATCGTATTAACTAAGTCATTAATAAAAATGACGAATAGCAGTGGACCTAAGGAAGATCCTTGTGGGACGCCAGTAGATGGAAAAAAGTGAATTGATTTACCACCGTTAAAATCCACATATAGTTTGCGATCAGACAAATACGACTGAAATAATAATACCAAATTTTTGGATAAGCCAATGCTATTTAGTTTTCCCAGTAGTAAACCATGATCGACTCTATCAAACGCTTTACTGAAATCAGTATATAGCACATCAACCTGACCATTAGAATCTAAAACACCTGCTAGGAATTGAGTTAAACAGACTAAGTTTGTTGTTGTCGACCTTCCTTTTACAAATCCATGTTGTGCTGTAGAAATTGAAGAACTTACGTTGTATTGTATGAAATTATGTAATAACATTTCAAACGTTTTCGAAAAATTACTCACAATAGTGATAGGCCTATGGTTTTCAATTAATTTACGGTTTCCATTTTTATGGATAGGTCGAACCTTGGCTTCACGCCAAATCTCAGGAAATGTATGTGATCTGATACTTAGGTTATAGATTTTAGTTAAAGGTGCAGCAAGAATAGGTGCACAATCACGGATTAAGAATGCGGGTATACCATCAGGTCCAGTAGTGAACTTGTTTTTCATTTTCTTTAATGCCATAAGAACCTCCTTTTCTGTGAAGCTATTCAGCACAATATTGTTTGTAGCAATAATATCATCATCTGGCCTAGCTGCTACATTGGGGGTAGAATAGACAGACTGGAAAAAATTAGCGAAGGCATTTGCTATATCAACAGGGTTATTGAAAACACAATCATTGTGAGTGAATTCAGAAGGTGAAAGGCCACTGTGCCTTTTACTTTTGATGAAGGACCAAAACTGATTAGGATCTTTTTTTATGCAATTTTCAGTCTGCTCTATGTACTTTTTATACGCATGACTAACGTCCCTTTTAATTTTGGTTCTTAATTCTTTAAATGTATCATAGACAGTCACTTCTTGATGTTTTTTGTATAATTTATGTAGTGAATTCTTTTGTTTAATATCCTTGATGATTGCGCGAGTATACCAGGGTGGAAATTTGCCAGGCGTACGCTTAGTTTTCGGAATACACATGTTGAAAATATTTATTAGGTTATTGTAGAATAGAGTGCAAGCAATATTGACATCCGCAATATCCTCAAGAAATGACCAGTCCATAAGTGTCAATTGTTCATACAGTGTCACAAAATCAGCTTTGCGAAAATTGAAGGTAACATCATTTGATTGTGACCACGTTTTGCTACGATAGTTTCTGTGTAATGTAATACAAAGTGGAGGATGATGTGAGTCTTCGGGCAATAGGTCATCGTATGCTCTAGTCACCAAGCATGATTTGTTGGAGAACACTAGATCAAGCAATCTATTGTTAATATTAAGAATTTGATTGTATTGTAAGAAATCAAAATATGCTGTAAAGGAGTTAACTACATTCAATTTGCGTGACGGTGAGATATTCTGTATACAAAACTCTGGAATGTTGAAATCCCCAAGAAAATAAACATCATTACCAGAGAGGTATGTCAAAGATTCTAGATGCTCAAATAAGCGCTCATAACATGCAACGCTAGTATTGGGTGGTATGTAGACCACAAATATGTATGTGGTTTTATATTGAATGGTAAACTGAACGCCTACTAGGTCTATGCAGGGAATATCACTCTTAATAGCAGTTGTATCAATTTCAGATGAATTCAACCAGTCTTTCGTGGCAATTAGAGCCCCACCTCCTCTTGTACATTCTAGGTTAACTAAGTCTCTATCAGATCTAAAAACACAGTACTGGACTGTAAATAGCTCTGCATTGAGTACCCCTGATTGCAGCCAAGTTTCAGTACAGCAAATGATGTCATAATCAGATATTGTTACATTGAGAAGGAAATCTTGACATTTGGAGTTTAATCCCCGAACGTTCTGGTAATATACAGAAAGAGTTTTTTTAACAGGACATGAGGAATGTGCTGTGCGAGAGTTATGATATTCATTGCTATATAATTCACCGGGTAGTTCGCAATCAGGAAAAAATCAACCTGGATTTAAACTCTTCAATTCGCTGTAAATAGTAAGGACACCTAGAATCCCAAGCAGCATGTGCAACATCAAATTCAGTATTCCTTTCATTATTACTTTTCATACAGTTTATACATTTCAGCGAAGTTGCTTTACAATTTTTGACTAAATGATTTTCACTACACCGCGGACAATGAAACTTCTTACTTTTACACTCTTTTGAATAATGCGAGAATCCGCTACAATTAAAACATCTTTTAATATCAATAGCATCAAATACGTCACACACATCATACCCCACGAATAACTTACCGCTACACACAGACAAAACCTTATTGTATGTATCCATATCAAGATTAATAACAGCTTGATAAATGTCATTCCGTTTTTTGATGGGCTTGATTTCAACCACCTTACATTGAGAATGTTCAGTAAACGCTTCCTTATTCTGTGCACGAATGGACTTGATAACATCACCTTCAGACAGTTTACAAGTCATGCCTGCGATACGCACTCTAGGATGAAAGCTGGATACCTCTTTAATTTCATATTTATCAGCCAATTTTTCGACAGCTATCTGCCTCAACTTCCGACTGTCATCATCAGACGAACAGCCTACCAGCATGCCACCATTCCATATATTCTTCACTCCAGATATATGTAAGTTTTCGGAAACTGGATCAACATATTGAAGTAAATCTGATTTGGTAGTTTGCACAGCTTGGGTGGTATCTTTCGGTTGAATGATGATTGCAGATTTACCCTTAGCTACCGACGAATAAGATTTCTTGATACCGGAAGGCCCAGGTTCTGGTAGATTACCCCTTTTTGCAGCCATTTCCATAAACTCCGTACGGAAAGTAGAAAATAGAAGTTGAATATTTTCAGATAGACTTGCAAGTTTGACGTCTAGAAGTTGCTTTACCTCATTGGAGTAAGTACAGCATGACTGACATTTCCATAGTAAACCATTGACCTTTTCAATGTTTTTTATCACATCAGCTGACAGCCCCTGGCATGCTGCATGAAAAACGTTTTCACAAAAACCATCACACTTAACACTTTTGGAACGAGCTGTGATAGCCGTATTACAGGACTTGCATAATGGATCGGCCATTACAACCAACCACACTATGCGCAATTGCACCAACAATGCACGAATAGAAAACTGTAACTTCAACTTTGAACGAAATTTTTTGTCCAAGTAATAACAGCAAAAAACAACAAAAATGTAGAGAGCAACAGATACACCGTATATCTCGACAACCGGACAAGGTTGAACACATATTTTGAAGCTTATCGTGAGAATTCAATAGCAGATATTCTCAAGGACTCTAATTTCAGTTATGGTACTGTTCAAAGGGTTTTAAAAAAATACAAATTTATTCCGTATAAGTACCGACCAGTTCAAACGCTTTTGGCAGGGGATCCAGAGAGAAGACTTGTTTTTTGCCATTGGTATCTTAGCTTCTGTCGCCAAAATGTAAATAACTTTCGTTACCTTTTATGGACAGATGAATCAAATTTTTCAAATTCTGGAATGTTTAATAGAAAAAACCACCATTATTGATCAAGAGAAAATCTTTTGTTAGTACATCCAAGAGGCCCACAAGTCCGTTTCAGTTTCAACGTTTGGTGCGGTATAATTGGTTCAAAAATTGTTGGCCCGTTCTTTTATGAGGGAACCCTAACTGGTGAAAGATATGTGGAATTTATGTCAGAAATTCTGACTAATTTCTTAGACGAATTGGATCTTATAAGTAGACATCATCTGCATTTTCAGCAAGATGACGCACCTGCCCACAACTCCAGAGGTACTTATCATTTTCTAAGTACTACTTTTAATGATCAGTGGATAGGAACAAATGGCCCAATACAGTGGCCTCCCAGATCACCAGATCTAAACCCACTTGATTACTTCTTGTGGGGTTACTTAAAGAACCAAATTTACAAGCGAAGGTACGATAACCTTGACGCGTTAAAGACTGCAGTTAGGGAAAAGATAACCCAGATAGATGGTAGGACCATACTTAAGACAGTTCGAGCAGTTGAAAAACGTGCCCAAAAATGTATTGAAGAACAAGGTGGTGTTTTCGAGCATCTTCTTTAAAAAAAATTGTTATTGTATTTTGTAAGATTATAAGTTGATGTTGAAAATAAAGTTTGTCGATACAATTTAATTGGTTCAGATTGGAGGCCATAACTTCAACAATTTGTAACCTAGGAGAAAAGTTATTGTAAGCTTTTTTGTTTAAAATTTGATGCTTTAACAGAAAAAAATATAATATACAGGGGTTTCCATTTAAAAAAATGTTATTTTACTGAAAAAAATCAAAATAACGACTCTCAATTGTTTTTTTTTATTTCTCATTTTTACCAGCGTTAAAAATGCTACTAGTTTGCTAATTCAAACAACTTTGTATTTTCACTAATAACAAAGTTACTAATGGTGGACACTTAATTTGGATAACCCTGTATATATATATATATATACCATTAGTAACTTTGTTATTAGTGAAAATACAAAGTTGTTTGAATTAGCAAACTAGTAGCATTTTTAACGCTGGTAAAAATGAGAAATAAAAAAAAACAATTGAGAGTCGTTATTTTGATTTTTTTCAGTAAATTAACATTTTTTTAAATGGAAACCCCTGTATATTATATTTTTTTCTGTTAAAGCATCAAATTTTAAACAAAAAAGCTTACAATAACTTTTCTCCTAGGTTACAAGTTGTTGAAGTTATGGCCTCCAATCTGAACCAATTAAATTGTATCGACAAACTTTATTTTCAACATCAACTTATAATCTTACAAAATACAATAACAATTTTTTTTAAAGAAGATGCTCGAAAACACCACCTTGTTCTTCAATACATTTTTGGGCACGTTTTTCAACTGCTCGAACTGTCTTAAGTATGGCCCTACCATCTATCTGGGTTATCTTTTCCCTAACTGCTGACTTTAACGCGTCAAGGTTATCGTACCTTCGCTTGTAAATTTGGTTCTTTAAGTAACCCCACAAGAAGTAATCAAGTGGGTTTAGATCTGGTGATCTGGGAGGCCACTGTATTGGGCCATTTGTTCCTATCCACTGATCATTAAAAGTAGTACTTAGAAAATGATAAGTACCTCTGGAGTTGTGGGCAGGTGCGCCATCTTGCTGAAAATGCAGATGATGTCTACTTATAAGATCCAATTCGTCTAAGAAATTAGTCAGAATTTCTGACATAAATTCCACATATCTTTCACCAGTTAGGGTTCCCTCATAAAAGAACGGGCCAACAATTTTTGAGCCAATTATACCGCACCAAACGTTGAAACTGAAACGGACTTGTGGGCCTCTTGGATGTACTAACAAAAGATTTTCTCTTGACCAATAATGGTGGTTTTTTCTATTAAACATTCCAGAATTTGAAAAATTTGATTCATCTGTCCATAAAAGGTAACGAAAGTTATTTACATTTTGGCGACAGAAGCTAAGATACCAATGGCAAAAAACAAGTCTTCTCTCTGGATCCCCTGCCAAAAGCGTTTGAACTGGTCGGTACTTATACGGAATTAATTTGTATTTTTTTAAAATCCTTTGAACAGTACCATAACTGAAATTAGAGTCCTTGAGAATATCTGCTATTGAATTCTCACGATAAGCTTCAAAATATCCAATAACTGCAATTTCCGTGGCCTCGCTTATTATGAATTCTTTTTTTGCCCTTGTTTTAGCAAAAACATTTTCGTTGCCCCTAAATTTTCGATAAAGTCTCAGAAAATATCGTTCATACGGTTGAATGCGGGCGGGATATAATTCACTGTAATTATAATTCACTTGCTCTCAAGGAGGATTTTCTGCACACTAAATAGCATTCTAACATATCACACTTTTCTTCATGGGAGAACATTTTTCTTTAAATTAATGACACAATAAAGCTTATAAACAAGTATTTACACTAATGTTTGACATTATTTGATTTTATCATTGTTTTCCAAAGCCTTCTAGTTGCGAGTATGTCCAGTTTAACAATTTGTCGCTTATCTTAATGCTGTCAAATCGCGAACGCCATGTTGTTTTCATAGCCGTCTTAATATTATAATACTGCAAATAATTAAAAATATTTATCGTTATTTTGACTTTATTTTTGACTTTAGCGGAAAAGTCATTATGAACTTTTTTGTTTAAAATTTGATGCTTTAACAGAAAAAAATATAATATACAGGGGTTTCCATTTAAAAAAATGTTACTTTACTGAAAAAAATCAAAATAACGACTCTCAATTGTTTTTTTTTATTTCTCATTTTTACCAGCGTTAAAAATGCTACTAGTTTGCTAATTCAAACAACTTTGTATTTTCACTAATAACAAAGTTACTAATGGTGGACACTTAATTTGGATAACCCAGTATACAGGGTGTTTCAGTTTATTGTTGCATAACTTTAAGATTCTATAGAACTTAATGCATAAAGTCTATATAAACATGGGTCGAAAAATGCGTGGCTTCCGAAATACAGGATGTTTAAATTTACTTTCTAAAATAGTTTTTTTTAAATATTTCGAACAATATTTGATGTATAACAGTGAAAATTGGTATACAAGGGTTTTGTGGTACGACAAAACGAACCATGGGCATAGTTTTACTGTAGCCGCTAGAAGGCGCTCTCTACTGTACCTGTAGTGTGTTAAAATTACCGAAAAAAAATTTCTTAGTGCAATTTTTTGCTTTTTGAATAAAAAAACTGATTCTTCGCACTTTTCAACATAAAAAAGCTTTCTTGTGAATTTTCGTTTATGAGATATTTCGATTTTTAAGGTTCGATGCATTTTTAATTACTTTTGATAAAATAACGTTAAAAAGTCAGTATCTCGATAATTTTTAGAAGTAGGCTGTGCCTGCAAATATTTTTGAAATTGAAAGCAGAATAAGGTTAAACGTCAATTAGTTGACAGTTAGTTTTGTTGTCTGTTGAAACCTGAAACGTTTTTTTGCAATTGTGAATGCACGAAATTTAGTTTCTTTTACCTGTTTTTTTTTTGTAAGTTTTATAAAAATGCCATTTTTATTCTCCAATCAAGAGTTAGCGGATATTCATTTTGTGTGTGGCTTTGTAAATGGAAACGCAGCAGAAGCAGCCAGAGAATACGCACGAAGATTTCCAAACAGACGACATCCAACTCGCTCAGTATTTGTAGGAGTGCATCGCCAAATAATTGAAAATGGTTTTGGAAATCTCCAAAGGGATCAAAACATAAATGTTCGTCAGCGCAGATTTACCCGTATGATTCTGCGTGAGTTTGATAGAGATCCGACCACAAGTGTTAGGAGAGTTTCTGGTGCCTTGGGAATGTCAGCAAGCCATGTTCACCGTGTCCTTAGAAATGACCATAGATGTCCTTACCATTTGCAACCTGTGCCAGGGGACGAAGAACGAAGAATCACATTTTGTCAGTGGATTCCTGATAGAACTGATAATAATAGGGAGTTTTTAAGTAACGTTTTATGGACCGATGAGTCATGCTTCAGTAGACGTGGAGTGGTAAATTTTCATCGTGTGGATTGGTATCTACCGTAATCGACTATTTGGACCCTACCTTTTGCCTGCAAGGTTAAATGCTGCGACCGTCTTGGAATTTTTAAAGGCTGAACATGTAAATATGTGGGATGATGTTATGTTAGATTTAAGAAGATTGGCCTGGTTCCAGCTTGATGGTTGTCCAGCTCATTATTCGAGAATAGTTAGAAACTGGCTGGACGAAAATTATCCAGAAAGATGGATCGGCCGTGGAGGACCAGTCGCCTGCCCTCCACGATCCCCTGACCAAGAGATATGCTAATAGACAGAATCAGGAACGCATGTGATGAAATAAGGCCTTATTTGAAAAATGCTATACCACGTTCGATCATTCGTAGATGTGAATTGTGTATTGAACAATTGGGTTTACATTTCGAGCAACTACTTTAGATTTTGTATGTTTGTCCTAACTATCCAATAGCATTTTAGTTGTAAATAATTAATTTAATTTGTTAAAAATATTGGAAAAAATAAACAAATTAATATTCTGTTTTTTTGTGTTTATTTGGAGTTAGGAATTATTGCTGTGTTTAAAAATACAATCTAAACGATCAT